CCCATACCCGCCTGTGCGCGCCGCCAACCTCCTCCTCCTCCTCCTCCTCCTCCTCCTCCTCCTCCTCCTCCTCCTCCTCCTCCTCCTCCTCCTCCTCCTCCTCTTCCTCCTCCTACCCCCTACCCCCAACTGCGCGTGGCCGACAATCTCAGGCCCCGGGGCCCTCACGGGTCGATCTGGCCCAAGGCTCCGGTCGTGACTCATCTGGGATGCTGCTTTTGCTCGCGACGCTGGATGGCAGGGTTGGCGCCAGCCGTGACGCTCGGTTCGGGCAGCGTGGCAGCGGCTCACGGCCAGGTTGCGCCCAGGCCATGGGCTCGTCGCGCGAGCTGCGGCCCGGCCACGATCAGGCCATCCCTGCCGGCAGCCCGCTCACACGGAGGGCCGAGCACATGAACGGGGAGGGGATGGGCGGAGGAGGGGCAGGCCAGATGCCCCACGATACTTCGCGAGCGATGGCATCCACTGCTTCCCAGCGAATCTCTTGGGCAATGCAGCGAGATCAGCCCACCTGCTTCTTGGTCCGCGGGGGGTGCGCAGCCACTGCGCCCCAGTCAACGCTCGGGGAGCGGCGCATCGATCGTGAACTAGGCCCCGTGCGGGAGGGGAGGATCAGATCCCCCCGGCGGAAGGGAACGTCAGGCTCCACAGCGCCGTCTGGGGCCCATTTGGGCCACGAGTGTTGCTGGTGGTCCAGGGGGGCGACGTCTCCGAACTCCTACGGCTTGAGTGTGAAGTCTACATCCTGGATAGCCTCCGGGAGGGCAGCTCTGGCGAGCACGATCAACATGCAGCAAGCATCCTTCACGAGCATTCCGCCCTGCCCAGCGGCGGAGGAGGGCAGCGCCGGACGCGGGCCACGGGCAGAGCGCGCGGAGGCGGCCACCGCGGGTGCCAGAGGCCTCGGGGAAGCACGAGGCCTTGGCCACGAGGGCCAGGCAAGAGCAGCAAAGCACGAGGGGGCACATCTAGGGGGAGGGCCCGCTCGAGGGGGGGGGAGGGGAGACATCGAGCTGGCATCGGCAGGACCCTCGCCGATGGATCGGCGGCAGGGCCCCAGACAGCTGGCCCGCGCGTGCCCGGGCGCGGTGGGCAGGCTGTCGGGCCCCCGTGGGCGGCGAAGGGGCGAGCGGGGGTCGATGCATGCCCACTCCGAGCCTTATCCCCATAGCTGGCGTTGCCCCCGAGGGAAGGGAAGCACAGCCGCGCGTTGCCGGCTCGGCAGGCCAGCGCCGCGGGCCCAGAAGACGGGGGCTGCGCTCGGCAGGCACGCCGCCGACCCCATGTCCCCATGCCCCATGGGCGAGGGGCACATCCCCAGCTGGGGCGCTGAGATCGGGGTTTGGAAAGGGATGCGGCGGTGGACAAGCCTCCCCTTAGTAAACCACCCTGTAGTGAGAACGGCCCAGGACCGAAACCGACGGACCTGGACCCGCAAAAATGACGGCCGCGACGCCCTCTCGCGAACCGAAAACCATCAATTCCCTAGTCGACGTGTCAGGGTAGGTCTATCAACCTCCGAGGGATGGGGACGGGGACTGACTGACTGACTGACTGACACGCCATGCACCAGGCAGTGCGTGGGCGCGAGCACAAGCGGAAAATACAGCGAACCCTTGTGCGGACCCCTGGGTGGGCCGACAAAGAAACGCGGGCAAGGCAAGGAACCGGGACCGGCGAAAATGCGATAAAGCGAGGAACCGAGGAGCGAGAGGGGGGCAAGGGAGGACGACAAGGGACGGGGGTCGGTTCCACGATACCGAGTCTGGTGCTACCGGGCCTCGCCTGGTCTGTCGAATCGCCTGCGTGCTCGGTGAGTTCCCATCGTGACAAGCGCCCTGGGGGGAGGGGGCGCGCGCGTAGGTGGGGGGGGTGAGAAGGAGGAGGCCTTCTCCGAAGGAGGCGGGATTTCTCAGGAGCCATCGCGCCTCCTGGGAAGTCGTCTGCGTCTTCGGGGAAGGCTTAGAATTCTTTCTCAGAAGGCCAGGGGAAATTCCGAGCCTTCTGAGAAGGCCCGCCTCTTTATCACTTCCCCCCTGGGCGCCGCCGAGCCTGTGCGCACACGCAGAGTCGTCGAGCCGATTCGATCGACCACGGGGACCACCACTGCGACAAATACCACGAGTACCATGGCTGCCAGCACGACGCTTGCAGCTACGAGTTCTGCAGCTTCGAGTAAGACACCTGAATCCAAAACTGGTACGATAAGAGGCCAGGACTTGCGGTTGCGATTACCGAGGGGTGCGGCATCGAATCGGTGGGGGCGGCGCGCGGGCTTCGCACTGGTCTAGATCCTCGACCTTCGAACCTGCGTCCTCGAAGCTCGGGCCCCGACCCTCGAACCTCGATCGTCGATTCGGAACCCCAGTCCTCGCTTCTCGCACCTGATCCTGGATCACGCTCTGGGCCCCCCACGCTCGCCCCCGCACCCCCCACACCGCGACAAGCCTCGACGAGCAGGACATCGAGGGCGCCATCGCCCGCTGGCGATCGCGGCGGCGGACCCGCGACGCGGACCAAGACATGTCCGAGGGCTCCGACGGGGAACGGCCCTCGCTGGGGAGTGGGCAGGTGCGCTGGGGCCAGCTGCTGCGAGATTACGGCGGGGGGCCGCCACCCGCGTTTCCTTGCTGACCCCTTGTGGACTTCCCTTCCAGCCCACACCACCGCCACCACACCCGTCGAACGCGTCGGGGTACAGACAGGACGCCGAAAGACGGGGACCGCCTTGGGCTCGGGAAGGGCTCCAGCCCTCGGGCCCGCTCCTCGGATCCGGGTCGGGGAACGCAGCTTCGTGGCCGAGGCTCGCCGCGGCAAGAAGCGTTCCAGACGTTCCTCACCCGGCGTTCCCACTGGCAGGCAGGCAGGGCCGCGCCCTGACGGCGCATCGGCAGAAGACAGAGTGCTGAAGTCGTACATGAGAAATGCATGCAGGAAGATATACGCGCAGACGCCGAGCCAACACGGTGCCTCGGGGAGCAAGCGCCGGACCCTCCGTTTTTTCTCCTCCTGGTTGCACGAAACGAAACAAAACCGCATAAAACGAGCGGCGGCATTTCTGAGTCGATGCCTTCAGGCTCCCCCTTCTCGCTGAAAGATCGCCACGCGCCGACGCTCCGTCCGCTCCGAGGACGGGGAGGAGGGGCAGCGGTACCAGAGAGACAAGGGAAGAGGAAGGGAAGGACTCCATGCTCCACCACGGAGTCATCGCCGCGGGCGAGCCGTGGGTCGAGATGAGCTGAGCCGCGACCTCCTGGCAGCTCGCAGCTACCACTTGCGTTGCTGCTTCCCTTGCCCTGCGGCCCGCGCCCGCCGATCGGGGCGTGTGGCCAGGCCGCGCGTGTGCACGCATCTGGCCAGCTGTGTGCCTGTATGGAGGCACAAGATGACCGGCGCAGAAGAGCCTCAGCCCTCACTGGACCTCTGAAGGGAGGCAGAGGAGGTGGACCCCTCCCCCCCCCCCCCGGCACTCGCCAGGCGGCTCCCCCGTGCAGAGGGACCCTTCCTACCCTTCCTCCAGAGTCCACGTATACCAGCACGCCAAATCCTGGATGCGGGCACGCCGTGGGCAGAACGTGGGAAAGACTGGCCTGGCCACGGCCCCGCAGCCTGGGCGGCGTGCGTCGCGGAAGAGCCTGCGGACAGTACCTTCGCAAGTCGAGACTGCCAGGGCGTGGATACGGACACGCCGTGGTCGAGTTGTCGAAGACGTCGCACACGTGCCCCCGCGCATCCGCAGCCTGGCCAACTTCAGGTCCCACATGACGGCGCTGCAGACAGGGATGGATACGTATCCTTTCTGCGAGCGCAGCCATGGCCTGGCCGCGGCGTGGACAGAAGCCGAGCCTCCTTGGCAAACAGGCACCAGCGGCGCTGCTGATCTGCTCGACTGCCGCGGAGGTCGCCGGGCGAGGGGCGGCCGAAACCAAACACCGCTGGCCCTAGCCGCGGCGCCAGCCAGGGGACGGGGGCGCCTCGGTCCCGCTGAGCTCGGGCCCCAACGCGGGCTACGGGGATTTCAAGCTCGAGGAGGAAGGGGAAGAGGAGGTGGGGGAAGGGGAGGAGGAGGAGGAGGGGGAAGAGGAGGAGGAGGAGGAGGACTTCTAGAGAGGTGACGCAAGCACAACAGGCGGCAACTGAAAAGAGAGGAGCAGGGCCCGCCTGCACCAGGCCGCCCCACTCCGAGCCCGAACTCAGCCACCCCATCTCCATGTCGAGCTCGAATCCCAACTCTAAGGCGCCACGAGTATTCGGCCGTGAACCCCAAGCCCTTCCCAGGCACCTGCGCCGCGCTCCACCAGAAACCTAGCAGCCCACGCACTGCAAAGGGCATCGGTGGGCACGCTGGCGCGGACGAGACGCGCATTCGGGGACGCGCCCAAAGCGCATAGCCGACTTCCACTGCCCGAATTGAATTAGGCTAGGTGGGGAGTCGGCCCGTTAACCAATCGAGCTCCTCCTCCTCCTCCTCCTCCTCCTCCTCCTCCTCCTCCTCCTCCTCCTCCTTCGCCTGGTGCCGTGGCCGGGCAAACCCTTGAAAGCAATGAGCCCAAGCTGTGTCCACAGCCTGAATCGAGCATACACGGGCCTTCAGCGAGGCGCCGTTTCGAGCAAGCCCCGCCCGACCACCCCAGCTTTCTGACCACCCCTCACGAGGCCCAGACTGCCGCACGAGATTCAGGATGGCGCGGAAAGCTGGGGGGCACCGTGGGCAAGGACCACCGCTGGCAACCTCTGACCAGCACTGCCTGCAACGACTCCTGACACCACCAGTCCCGAGGCCCGAAGCGCGCGGGGGGGGAGGATCATGTGCAGGATCATGTCGCTCGCTGCCTTCCTGCCTCGGTCGCCTGGCGGCGCGGGGGGCAGTGCGCCCACAAGGGGTCGAAGTGTGCCGCCCGGGCGGGCCCTCAATGGAGTCACCTGGCAGGCGTGAGCCTGACGAAGATGGGATCCCAAGACGGGGGAGGGCGATCGAGGCAGGGCGGCAGGCGGGGGGCCTGTGCACAGGGAGTGCTGCGGCAGCGAGCCGAAATCCTCCTCGGTGTAGTCCTGGCCACACGGGGTGCCCGCACCCCTCCTGCACAGGAGCTGGAAAAAAGCGGAGCTGGAGGTTCCCGGAAAGCGGAAGCGGCCAGGGCTGGAGAGACTGGCAGGGGCTGAAACGAGCCCGCAGCAGTTGGGATGAGGTCGTCAAGGCTTGAACAACTGGAGGGGAATTGGCCAGAAAAAAAATAGCGGAAAGGCTGGCCCCAGCCCATTATCCCCCGCTTCCCTGTACGTACTTTTGCTGGCGCTGCCACGCGCGTGCGTAGATCGTGGGACGCGTGCGCCGTGACGCCGCCAGGCTCATAGCGACCCCGTAGGCCAGCAGTTAAGGCGACCAACGCTGTGGTGGCCCTCGGCAGGAGCATCAAACACGGCACGGCGCCTCCTCCCGCCCCTGCCCGTGTCGATGATGCAGAAGACGTGCGCTGCAGCAGACATTGTCAGAAAGAACGTGGGTCGAGAACGGGGCCCCTCCGCCGAAGGCCCGAGGCCCCGCGGAGGTACCCAAGACAAAGAACGCTCCAAGGTGGAGGGCCCGAGCGCGAAGAACAAAAGGGCACCCCTCCAAACTCGAGGCTGCTCTGCCACTCCTGTGCCGGCTGTAATCCTACATTCCGCTGGCAATCGGCCCGTCGCTGCCCCTCTCCAGCAGGGAGGAAGTTCACATCGGCATGCGCGATGGCAGCCTCCCATCGCCAGGGGGCGTAATCGCTTGTGCCGGCACCGCGCCACGCACTGCTCAGGCGGGCCCCCGAAGGCTCCCAGGAGGCCCCCTGGTGCGTGGCGGGGGGTCTGTACATAACCAAAGCATGGAAGATCGATCCCTGGGCGGTGGTTATGAACGAAAGAGCATGTTCTACCGCTGCTGGCGGAAAACCGAGCGGGTCACTGGGGGTTCCCAGCCCGTCCCCCCCTCCCCCCTCGAAAACCGGGGGGGGGGGCACTACCAGTTCGAACCCTCCCCCCCCAGTCCATCATGAAAAGGGGGAGAGGGTCACTGCCTGTTCGAACCCCCCCCTCGAAAACTGGGGGGGTCACTACCGGTTCGAACCCCCCCCCCTTGAAAATCTGGGGGGTCACTACCCGTTCGACCCCCCCCCCCTCGCCGCCGGCAAACGATTCCCGCTCCTCGGGACAGTTGGACGATGGTGGGGATGCTGGGACAGTGGTGGGAACGGTGGTGGTGGGGACAGTGGTGCGGGGACAGTGGGACAGTGGTGCGGACAGTGGTGGGGACGGTGGTGGTGGGGACAGTGGTGAGGGGACAGCGGGACAGTGGTGGGGACAGTGGGACAGTGGTGGGGACGGTAGTGGTGGGGACAGTGGTGAAGGCGGTGGTGAGGACAGTGGTGGGACAGTAGTACAGTGGGGAAAGTGGTGGGGACAGTGGGGACAGTGGGACAGTGATGGGGACAGTGGGGACGGCGGGACAGCACAGTGGGACAGCGGCGGGGACAGTGGGACAGTGGTGGGCACAGTGGGGACAGTGGGACAGTGGTGGGGACCGTGGGGAAAGTGGGGAGAGTGGGACCGTGGTGGGACAATGGTGGGGAGAGTGGGGACAGTGAGACACTGGTGGGGGCACTGGTGGGGACAGCGGGGACAATGGTGGGAACAGTGGGGACAGTGGGACAGTGGTGGGGACGGTGGTGGTGGGGACAGTGGTGTGGGGACAGTGGGAATGTGGTGGAAACAATGGAACAGTGGAGGGTACAGCGGTGGTGGGGTGAGGGCGGTGGCGAGGACGGCGGTGGGATAATGGGACAGAGGTACAGCGGGGACAGTGGCGGGGGCAGTGGGGACAGTGGTGGGAACAGTGGGACAGCTCAGCGGGACAACAGCGGGGATAGTGGGACAGTGGGACTGTGGGGACAGTGGGACAGTGGTTGGGGCCGTGGAGAAAGTGGGGAGAGTGGAACCGTGATGGGAACAGTGGTGGGGACAGTGGGGACAGTGGGACAGTGCGACAGTGGTGGGGGCACTGGTGAGGACAGTGGGGACGGTGGTGGGAACAGCGGGGACAGTGGTGGTGAGGACAGTGGTGCTGGGGACAGCAGTGGGGGATGAGGTGCGGACGGTGGTAGGGACCCGGGAGTCGTTTGCTGGCGGTGAGCATGGGGGGGGGAGGGGTTCGAACAGGTAGTGACCCACCCCGGTTTTCGAGCGGGGTGGGGGTGTTCGAACCGGTAGTGACCCCCCCCGGTTTTCGAGAGGGGGGAGGGGGGTTCGAACCAGTAGTGACACCCCCAGTTTTCGAGGGGGTGGGGGGTTGAAGCAGTAGTGACCCACCCCTGGTTTTTTGGAAGGGGACGGGGGGAGGGGTTCGAACCGGTAGTGACCCGCCTCTGGTTTTCTGGGAGGGGGGGGGGGGTTCGAACCCGTAGTGACCCCCCCCGTTTTCTGGAGGCGGGGGGGAGGGGGGGGGGTCGAACTGGTAGGGACCCTCCCCGGTCTTCTGGAGGGGGGGGGGGTTAGGGGATGGGGGGAGGGTTTGCCGGGGAAAGAGGGGGGATAAGGGGGGGTTCCAGCAGGGGGGGCGGGGATTTTCGGAGAGGGGGGGGGACCCCCGGATTCCGGAGGAGGGGGGGAAATTTTCCACAGTAAAGCGGCGGTGGATCACGCTCTCTCTGATGAACAAATCCCCGTCTCGAGCCTGGATGGCCTCCCAGAAGATCCCGGAGGTCCCCCAAGAAAGCCCAGAGAGGGCCGAAGACACCCACCAGGCGGCAGAACATCAGCCCACCAGATGCTGGATTCCTCCTGGGACGCGTTCTGGCTGCGGCCTCGAAGGGAATCCAGCGGCGACGAGCCGCCTGGAAGGGGAAGAGAGATATCGAAAAACCTCGCGGACCTCGAAGCTCAATCCTCGAGGCGCGAGCCCCTGATCCTCAATCTCCTCGAGCCCTCGTCGTCTTCGAGGTCTTGCCCGAACTGCCTCCAGACGGACGGGACGGTCACGCGCGGAGGAGGGGAGCACTGGGGGGGAGGGCAGGAAGAGGAAGTCGAGAGGGGGAGAGGAAGGCAAGAGACGGGTGGGGTCAGGCAGGCGTCCTCGCGTCGAGAAAATTACCCCCCTGTCGGCGTCTCTTTGGCGCCACTTTGCGGCGAGCGAGGGGGGAAGTGAGAAGGAGAAGACCTTATCAGAAGGCTCGGAAGTCCCCCGGGCTTCTGAGAAGTTTCCTGAGCCTTCCCCGAAGGCAGAGACAACTTCTCAGAAGGCGCGAGGGCTTCTGAGAGGTCCCGCCGCCGTATGAGCAGGCCTTCTCCTTCTCATTTCCCCTCCTCGCTCGCCGCCGAGCTACACCTGGAGCGCTCCGCGGGTCACGGAGGGGGGTCCAGCGCCGATCCAACAAACCCACACGGACCTCCGAAACTGTCTTTTTATGCCGTTGTTGGGTCCTCCAAGGACTGGGATACGTCGTTCCAGGGCGTTCTGGAGCGCGCTCAAAGCGTTCAGGAGCGCGGCGCCCGGTACATCCTCAAGAACCGCTTGATCAGCAGAGCACCCTGATAGCAGCAAAACTGAAGAGGCGGGTCGAGAAGTAGGGGGTCGGCTGGCGAGAACGTGCACTCCAGGGCCCCTCTTGGCGGAGGCGGAGGGGGAGGAGGCGGAGGAGGAGGAGGAGGAGGACGGGGGCGAGGTCAAGAGCGGCTGGGCCATGCCGATTCGGGGGACGCCATCCAGGCCCTCTCGCGCTATGACCAACAGATGCTGGCGGGGGGATTTCCGCAATTCTCTCGGCCTCCTGATGCTACGCCCCTGCGCCGGACCTTGAGGCCGTCGAAGAACAACTCATGATGAAAAGCTGGTCCCAGGGAAGCGGTCGAGACCTTTGGGGGTCGACGTTGTGACAAAAATCACGACGTCGGCGTGTTCGCGCGCCGTGGTTTCCCTTATCTGCTAAGAGGCAAAAGTTTAGAAAAAAGAAAGATAGAACGAGAGAGAGAGAGGAAAACAAAAAAAGAGAGAGAGAGAGAGAGAGAGAGAGAGCAGAGAGCAGCAGCAGCAAGAAGAAGAGCAGAAGCCGCAGCCGGGGAAGTCTCGCCCGAGAACGCCGTGTTTTCCCCCGGGACGTCAAGCTGGCGACAGTGGAACCCGTTAGGAGCCCCCAGGAGCCGAAAATGGCAAAACAGAAACAAACAAAAACAACCTTCCGTCGTGAGCTGTGGAGCATACGGGTCAGCAGCGCAAGGCCTGTGAGTGGGCTTTTCGAGATGGGCAGAAGGCCTGCGCAAAGAGCGGGATGGCTGCGAGGGGCCTGAACGACAGGATGCAGGCTCGCGGCGCGCGAGAGAGACTGGCGCGGAGGGGGGGGAGTGGCCTTTTTGGAGAGGCCTGGCGGCTTCCAAAAAGGCTTCCCATGAGCAGGAAGCCACTGAGAAGCCGCTGCCTTCGGAGAAGACGCCTGCCCTCTGAGAAGGTTTCCTGGGAAGCCCTCCCTGGGAAACGGGCTTCCGAGAGAGCCACCGACTTCCGAGACGGCCCCCCCCCCGAGGCTCCTCAAAGGGCCGCCGCCCTCGTGCCAGCAGCCCCCGCGCGCAGAGGGCAGGCCTGGACCTCCGACGCAGCGGCCCCCTCAGCGCAGGGCCCTGGCCTGGAGCCGCATCTGAAGGGGCCCTGGGACACACAGATCAAGAGACACAAATAACAGGATTCCCCATATCTTCCTATGTTTCTGGGGGTTTTGACTTCCCCCCCACTTCCCATATCTCCCCATATTCCATGGGGAATCGACGATTAATTGTGTCTGTTTGTTTTGTTTCCTCCTGACCCTGGCCTGGAGCCGCATCGCATTTTCGGGGGGGGGGCGTCTGTCCCGTCGCGCCGCAGCCCGCGCCGCGTCCGTGTCGAGCGCGCCGAGCCCGGGTCGCATCCACGCCGACCACACGGAGGAGCCGCGCCGTCCGCGCGTCAGAGGTCAGAAGATACCGCAAGTTCAGAGGCGGCCGCCAAAAAGCTCCCGAGGCCCCCAAGAGGCCCCCAGAAGCCCCTAAGAGGCCCC